TTTACACGTGTAATGATGTCCAGTGACTTGTTTGCATTATTTATGCATTATTTTATTTATTTGTAAGACTTTTTTATGACTAAATTTGGTAATGGGAGAGTAAAAATATTTTTAAAACGTACACCGTTCAAACTAGGCTGCTTATGTTGAAGTGTTTGGGATGTGGCTTTTAATGATGAGAACTTTTTTGTAATCAGGCTCTCAAAAAGTATATAACAATTTGGATATAGATTTATCAGCCAACATATCGGTTATCGGCTTTCAAAAATAAAGAATAATCGGTATCGGCCAAAATTTTCATATCGGTGCATCCCTAAAATCAATGAATGAATGTAAACTTTGCTTTCATTGTCTGATTATAATATTGACTGTTAACTGAATACAGTAAATGTTGACATTGTAAATATCAAGACATAATGACTGTTTTATTATGATACTTCAGCCATCGAATGCACAGAACCACTGCTATTAAAAAAAGCTACATTTTCATTTTTCAAAAACCTGTACAGGAAACAACTCTGAACATCTTAGCAATCACTTGCAACACTCTAGCAACCACTCTTGAGTAACCTAGTAAACACCTAACAATGAGCCAAAACACATTAGAAACCACCCAGAAAACCGTATCAAACACTCTGAACACCCCAGCAACAACCCAGAACACCTTAGCAACCACCCAAAACACCCTAGCAACCACTTAGGAACCTCACCACAACACCATATCAATTACCAAGAATGTCCTATCAACCACATTAGAAGAAACTAATCACCCTACCAACCACCCAGAATCACCAATCAAACACCTAAACACATTCCAGAACACCCTAGCAACCATCCAATGCACTGTAGCAACAGCTCAGAACACCTTGGAAATCACCTAAAATACCACAACAGCCTGGCACCAACCCAGAACACCATAACAACGACCAAGAACACCTTAGCAACTTCTCAGAACACCACCCTAGCAACAAACTAAACACCCTTCCAACCACCCTGAATGCATTAGCAACAACACCATAAGAAACACCTACAAACCACCCAAAACACTGTAACAACAACCCAGAACACCTTAGAAACAACCTAAACACCGTAGCAACAACCCAGAACATCCAAAAAAAAAAACTGTCCAGAACACCCTATAAATCACCAGCACACCCTAACCACCCAGAAAACACTAGCAACCACTCAAAACACTGTAGTAACAAGCCAGAACATCATAGCAAGCACCCAAACACTGTAGCAGAACACCTAAAACACCACAGCAAAAACCTAGCAAGAACCCAGAACACCCTTTCAATCACCCAGAACACCTTAAACATCTAAAGACATTACAGAACACTCTATCAATCACCCAGAACACCTTAAACACCCAAAGACATTCCAGAACACCCTAGCAACCACCAAAACACAGTAACAACAATCCAGAACACCTCAGTAACCACCTAAAACACTGTAGCAACAATCCAGGGCACCCAAATAACCACCCAGAACACCCTATCAATCACAGCACACCCTAACCACCCGGAACACCCTAGGAACCACATGAAACACTGTAGCAACAAACCAGAACAACCTAGCAACCACCCAAAACACTGTAGCAACAACCTAGCAACCACATAACCACTGTGGCAGAACACATAAAACACCACAGTAACAACCTAGCAAGAACCCAGAACACTTTTTCAATCACCCAGAACACCTTAAACACCCAAAGACATTCCAGAACACCCTAGCAACCACCAAAACACTGTAACAGTAACCCAGAACACCTCAGTAACCACCTAAAACACTGTAGCAACAACCCAGGGCACCTAAATAACCACCCAGAACACCCTATCAATCACAGCACACCCTAACCACCCGGAACAACCTAGCAACCACATAAACACTGTGGCAGAACACCCAAAACACTGTAGCAACAACCTAGCAACCACATAAACACTGTGGCAGAACACCTAAAACACCACAGCAACAACCTAGCAAGAACCCAGAACACTTTAAACACCTAAAGGCATTCCAGAACACCCTAGCAACCACCCAATCACTGTAACAACAATCTAGAACACCTTAGCAACCACCTAAAACACTGTAGCAACAACCCAGAACATCCAAATATCCGCTCAAAACACCCTATCAATCACAGCACACCCTAACCACCAGAACACCTTAGCAAAAACCCAGAATGCCCTATCAACCACCTAGAACACTTTATTAATCACCCATAATACTCTAGCAAACACTTATAAACATTCCAGAACACCTTAGCAACAACCTAAAACACTGTTAACCACTACCCAGCAACAGCCCAGATCCTAGCAACCACATAGGAACAACTCAGAATGCCCTAGCATCCACCCAGACGACCAAAGATAATTGGTACAAATGAGATAGTCAGGAAATCTAATTTACATCCAGAGGAAAACACATTTATGTTCCTCATTTGCAAGTCGCTTTGGATAAAAGTGTCTGCTAAATTAATAAATGTATGCATGTCCAAATTATGATAATTGATGTACGCACAATGGAACCCAATTCTGATAAGAAAGAAATGATCGCTTGCTTATATTACTTGGGTAATAACAGTATAAGTATAATTTGTTAAACCACGTACCCTTCACATCAGGTAATTAAAAATGAAATGTTAATGCATATGTAAAGATGTCTTAGTCAATCTCCAGACACTATGGTTTGACGTCACGAAACACTCAGCTGTCCTGCAGCTGTTCTTCATACTGCTTGACATCTGTTCCAATAAAAACAAGAACAAACCACTGAATGAGAGAGTCAACAAATAAAGACACATTAAAGTGTTCCCTTCTCTCGAGTCAAATTTCTTCATATTTGCATTTATTGTCATTTCTTTTTTTCCCCCGGATATTTTATCTCCATTGACTGTCCTAAAGCCATTGAGATTACATTACTATTTAAAAAAAATCTACTTCACTCTATTATTTACGGTTCATAATTTTTGTTTAATCATCACTTAATGTAAAAAAAACCAAAAAAACATCTGTAACCCAAGCTTTTCCGTGTGGAATCCAATACTCTGGGAACACCGGCTGACCTAAACTACAAGATTTCCATTAAACCAGTTCCTTTCATTGTTCAGATTATTACATATGGAGATCAAATACAAGTACAAGGAGAAACATGTTTTATGAAGAACATGAGACACAAAAAATGCCTAACAAGAAAAAAGAGAGCTTTTGACTGTCAGACAAATTGCCACTGTAGGGGCATGGAAAAATACACCAACACTGCCAGTAATGAACTTCAAAGCGCGTATATTATGTGTGTATATAAATATACACACTACCTCAGTGAATCAAACGTGAACACAGCAACCAGTGTAGTATGATTCCTGAAAGAATGACTCTTATTAGGACTCTCTCTATTGAATCAAAAACATAGAGCAGCATCAGTGTAGTCTGATTCCTGAAACGAATGAATCTTATAATCTGGTTCTTTTCAGTGAATCAAATGCATACATTGCAGTGTGTTGCCAAGTCCGTGGTTTTCCTGTTTTACTTTTTTTAGTCCACGGGCAGTGTTGGGGCTCTGTTACACCAAATACACAAAATAATGATCTTTAAAAAAGCATCATATTACCCCTTTAAACATTCAACCCTGTTACCAAAGTTATTAAAACAGTCAAACATCAAACAGTCAACCCATTTTCCAAAAATGACCTAACACTCAGTCCTATTACCAGTCATTAAAAATTATGTCAGCTGTTTCCAAAATTAAAAATCAAATATTCAGCCATTACCACAGTTATTAAAACAATCAAAGATACAACAGTTACCAAAATGAATAAAAAATGACCAAACATTCAACTGTTACCAAAATTACCCCCCCTCTTAATTTATGTGAATTAAGTATATCAACAATTACCAATTAAGCCCTTCAAAATGATAGCTTGAATAAATCTATATTTGCAACCCTGTTACCCATTTGGCCATTTACGCTAATTTTATTACATTTTATAAATAATTTATTATTATTATTATTATTACTACTACATAAAAAAAATTACAATCACCCAAATCTGGGTTTTAAACTCTTTATAGATGTCCTAATTTTTCATAACAGGGCTGAATAAATAAATAAATAAATTAATTAATTAATTGCAAACCCGGTACAAAAGAAAAAAAGGAAAACACGAGGCAAATTAAAACATTTTCTACCTATGCACAGGATTACCTATATTTCACAGGAAAAAAATCTGAAATGTGACAACACATGTGCGACTAAGGACGTGTGTTAGCCTGCTGAAAACACCTAGCTGTGAGCGATCAAGAGCGCTTCTGCGGCGCAGTGTTTTTTTTTTTAGTTGACAAGTTTTGGTTGCTATGATACGGAATATCCACAGAGGTAATGTGGCAGACGCATGAATTAAATGTTGAAATAAATGTTGCAAGCATTATTTTTCACATCAATATTTGTAGTAGTCCAGAATCCCATCTGGTACAGACATGAATACTCGGGGACATCAGAGCACTCAGCCCTCGTTACGCTGCTGGTGTTTTCAAAAACACGGCGCTCCCATTGAAAACAACTGAAAATATACTTTTTTGTGGACACGGCCTAAAGCACTTCATATCTGGCTTTTTCTGATATCGTGCTTGGATGGAAGCGTACTCAGACAAACCCTCGCCTGCAGGCACTGAAAACCACATCAAAGTGATTCCATCAGGCTGTGCATTTGGAACGGTAGTGAGAGGACCATGAAAGCACAGTCCAGGCTAAGGGCCTCGGAAATTGAATCAAAATTGAATATTTATTAAAGATAGAACTGTAATCTCATCTTTATGAAGGGTTAGAAAACAATGACATCAGACATTAAAAAAAGGCAAAAAAGGTAAAAAGGTAAAAAAAAGGTAACCCCCCCCCAGAAAATATAAACTTTTGAGGTGGATGAAAAAAGGAAGTCAATCAATGTGAAAACAATAAGAAAAAAAATTCTTCATTTAATATTTGTCAGTTGACGGCACACGTACCCAGGGTTTGGTGGATGGATTCAGCAGTGCTGGGGCGGCTGCCAGTGCGAGTCGGTGGGCGGGAACTAAAGCGTGAGTGGGCGGGGCTATCTTCACTTCTCTGTCGGGTGACAGCGTAGGCTCCATCACCACCAGCTCTGAGTAGGCAAATACACATGCACACATGTACAAAATCATGTCCAACACGCCAGATGTGTTTTAATTCAACTGCTAAAACACTGAAAATTCAAAGTTAGGAAATTCAGGTAATATTCCACAACATTATTTTTTTTTTTTTACTGTTCAGTCTAACAATAGGCTCATCACAAAAGACTCAGTATGGATTTTTTTATGTCCAAAATTTTATTTTAAAATAAAGGTAGGTAATTATTGAGGTTTATGCATATCGTTTTGCTTACATATATTGACGCTTATACATTTTTCCTTGTGATAATATATATATATCTCTTAGAAATATGTGATGGCAAAATGATGATTCCTCTGACTGGAAAAAAAGGTAAAACAAATAAATCTATTATTACATAACTTATCTGCTTTCCCCCCAGCCTGAAATGCCTTTCATTCTAACTTTGTCTACTCCAAATTTCCTTTGGAGATTGTAGTATATATATATTATCTTATCCAATTATTAATTATCCAATTATTATATAATCCAAAAGCTTGGATAAATTAAATAACCAAATGCTCAAATAAGTTCTCACCCAATCAAGGGCCTAATCACAATGTTGTGTTCTTTCATTCATAGCATTTTAAAGCACCAAGGTCAAAACAGCGAGAGTCACGCAACCAATTGTCTGCACTCATTCCCATCACTGATCCACATGCTTCAGTAGAAACAATGAGGATAAATCCACCTGAGGATGGAGTCTTACATATCCTGCTTGCACTTTAACATTATTTGACTTGAGGGCAGAACTATTGACTTCTACCCAGAATTGGCGACAAGGACAAAAATGAATACAGACACATTTGCACTTCTGCTGTGGGCGAGAGTCACTGTGTTTGTAGTATCTTGTATACTCATCACAAATTAAGATTCGTCTAATGACAACACTTCAATTTAGTAAAAAAGAATAAGCAATTAGTGGTTACTATACCAACAAGGAATCAAACTACTACACCTGCACTTAAAGTAACACGACATGCACATGAACCATATCCGGTTACATGTTAAAACATAACTGAATTTCAGCGTTTGTTAATTTCATAAGAATTCTGACCAAGAGAAGAAGATTTCTGAATGATTCTAATGTTAATATGCGAGAATGTTTTTAAACTCCATTTTAAAAGACACATGAATAAGAAGATGGGTTGACTTAATAGATTCCTTGGTGTGAATTTTAAGTAATGCACAACTATTTTTTCGACATTTAAGTCACAAACAAGCATAAAATCGTTACTAAAATAACACCAAATATTCATCTTGATGTAACAGGCATTCAGAATGAGGTTCTTACATGGTGTTTTTGTGGGAGCTGGGCGTAACGGGCCGCTGGAGTGGCTCGTCTATGCTGCGAGATGATGGAGGATATGATCTCCTCTTCATCTTCACCATGTTGGTCATTATCTACAAAGCACCAGAGAGACGCTTATCATCTAAATGTCCAAACACATTGCAAACATAAATCACAAGAATGCTAACAGTTCGCAAATGAATCATTCTTTTGATTTGGTTCATTTTAGTGAACAGGATGAACCAGTTCACCAAATGCAGCTGAATCGTCTCGAGCAGCACGGATCTACAAGTTACTCAAATCAAAACTCACTTTCAGATGCCTGACAGTCACTCTGACTGGAAATGAGTCAAAATAGTGTATCTGATCCTGTGATGAATGAACTGATTCAGCGCTCCATTTCCTCCAACAGACACTGAACTGAGGAAAGTTTGACTCAGAGTCGGACCGAAGACAGATGAGCCGCTGATATTCACATGCGTGAACTGAACACTTGAATGGAGGGGCTACATGAAAGATTTATGCTTTCTCATTGTTTATGTGAAAAGGTGAGCTGATGAAGACTAGTGTATTCACTTTATATGCGGAAAACATCTGAGTTTCACATAATTATTGGGCGCTTTAATAATATAATTGCATTTACCTTATGTCACTGTGTGATTACGTAAGTGAACTGGTGAATCGGTTATTTAAAGTTAATTGAAAAAGAACCAGTTTCTTGCACAGACTGATCGTTTTGCTTCATAAGACCTCAATATATCATTAGGGGCCACAAGTATTAATTGTGTGTTGAATGTATATGCTTTTTTAACTCTCCAAAGTGCCGGTAGCCGCTGACTTGCATTTTATGAATCACCATGGACCGTGGACTTTGCAAAGTCTTCTTATATTTATCATTTAGAGTGATGGTTTACCCCGAGATACTCTGTTGCCAGCAAAGATTCTCCGCTGAGCTCTTTCGGGTGAGGCTGCAGGACTTCCTCTTTATCTAGATCTGCCTCCATAACATCTTCCTGTTAACAAGATGAAAGAATTAGATCAAAGGCCTGAGTGGTAAAGCTTTTGAAACTGCCGATAAAATGCATGTCGCAGTGATAGCCTTTCACACAGATTATGTGAAATCATGTTGAGCAATAATCTTTCTTAGAAGACACAAGTGAATTACCTCGTCGTCGTCATCCTCTTCACCATCTGACTCAGGCTCATGTCCAGAGATGTCCGCTGTATATGGCAGAATCATAAATGAACACAAAAGACTCAGTGAAATGATGACATAAATATGGGAAATAAACCATGGAATGCAACAGATGAATTTTTGAAGAATATCCTGGCAACTCTTTGCAATTCAGTGAACTTGAATAGTGACCAAAATGAACAAGCATCATAAATGCACTCAAACAAATGACTCACGCTCTTTGTTTATGATATTTTTATGGTGCTTTTCCGTTCCTTTTGAACCTGATAACCTGGTTCTCACTCACTTTCATTTTACTGAAAAAGGTGGCTAGGATTTTGAAAAAAAGTTATGTGGCTTAAACAAGGTGATGACAGATTTATTAATTTTTCCATTTCTAGATGAACAATTTCTTACTGCTTTTTTGTCTTACCTGAGTTAAGCTGTTTGATGATGAATTCAATTTGTCTGTTGAGTTCAGGATTTTCTTCTTTACTGTAACAGCATAAGATCTCCTCCATACTCTAAACACAACAACAAAATCCTCACATTATCTGTATTCTGTGATCGTAGCTATGGAGCACAACAGAGACCAATTATTTTTTTTCAGCAGTCTTCAGCATTCAGTTTCTCCATAAGGATTAAAAATAAAATAAAATAAAATCTTGCAAAAAAACTAGCTTGGAGCAGAATCACAACACTTGACCTTTGATTTGAAGATTTGAAGTACTTAAAAATCAAATAAGCATGTGCCAAAATTATTTTACTTGTCGTGGAGTATAACTCACGATATAAGTACAAGTCTTATACTTATACGTTATATCGTACTTTTCAAGTATAAGTCATTCATTGGTTATAAATATAAAACAATATATTTAGTGTTAAATATTTATATATACACTGCCGTTCAAAAGTTTGTGGTCGGTAAGTTTTTTAAAAATATATTTACTATTAATATTTTTTTAATATTAATATAATATTTTTAAAATAATTTAATATGTTTGAATCTCTTCTGCTCACCAAGGATGCATTTATTTGTTCAAAAATACAGTAAAACAGTCTTCAGTGTCACATGACCCTTCAGAAAATAATATGCTGATTTGCTGCTCAAGAAACATTTCTGATTATTATCAATGTTGAAAACAGTTGTGCTATTTAAGATTTTTGTGGAAACGGTAATACACATTTTTTTTTAGGATTCTTTGATGAATAGAAAGAACAATATTCATATGAAATATATATTTTTTTGTTATATTATAAGTGTATTTACTGCCATTTTCGATCAATTTAATGAATCCTTCATGAGGAAAAGTATTAATTTCTTTAAAACATTTTTTACTGATTATATAAATATATAACACGTGTAGGGAGTGCAGTTTTGTTTGACAGTGACTTTTCTGATTTAACTTAAGGATTAAGGAGTGTTTCCTCTAGGAATTTTAAACAAACTAATAAAACATTTTTTTCTGAACAGTAACCTTCTGATTTGTTGCGTCATATATCGCTGTTTAACTTTGAAAGGTTTGAATGTGCAATGAATGGGATTTTTATTACTCATTGGAGTCGAGGCAATGATCCTGATGTTGTGCACCTGTGAACGAACCGTGATTAAACACATACCATCTGTTTGGCTTCCTCTCGTATCTCTGGCATGGACAGGATGCTGTATAAAGCTCCATTCACATAGTACCGTATCTATATTTGCAAACATGAACACAAACATGCAATGAACATTTGAAACTTTGCATCTGAAACACTTTCATCCACTACCAGCCAAAGTTTAAACACACATCTTAAAATCATTTTGAACTAAACGTATGGTTATAAAAGTTTTGTACACAATTATGACACTTTGTTTCATATTTGATTAACTTTGCACTGTTAATTGAACTAAATTAAATCAAAACTGAACTAAACTGATCTAAATAATGGCACTATTGTCTTCTGTAGAGCTGCTTTACAGCAGAACTTAATTAGTTTTTTGTAAATTGTTTTATATCTGATGAATTTTGCAACATTAACACTGTTATTTTCTAGTTTATTACTGTAAAGCTGCTTTGAAACAATCTGTATTGTATAAAACACCATAGAAATAAAAATGACATTTGTTTACAATTTTTTTTTGTTTTAATGTGAATAGGACTGAATATTAAAGGAAAATCAAGGAATTGTATTATTATGACTTTACAATATTGTATTTCTTACACAACTATTCAAAAGTGTAAGGGAAAAAACAAACAAACAACCAAAAAAAAACATAGGATGCTATTTACAGTATGTTACATAAAGTGATTTTTGCTGCTCCTACTAATCGGCTTGAAGCTAATCAAAAAATGTGTGAGGATTTTTTGCTTTTTTTTTGTAAATAATGTTGATAATCTTTGGGCTCAGATGACCCCAGTGACAACTATTTGTTCGACTTATATCCAAATTATTTTTATTGAAATTTTAAGAGAAGGTTGTTTTATCACAACTTGTTCCATACTTAGATGCGGATGCTGTTATAGATATGTTCCAGTCGGGTTTTAGGTCCCTTCGTGGTACAGAATCTGCCCTTCTTAAGGTTTTTAACAATATTTTATTGGCAGGTAGTATTCTAGGAACGTAGTAATACTTATTCTACTTGATTTTACAGCCACTGTTGATACCACTGATCATGGGATTTTATTGCAGTGATTGGAAGATGTTGTTGGTATTAAGGGTACTACCTTAGATTGGTTAAAGTTATATTTAAAGGTTAGGTCTTTATTTGAATTGGGAATTTGTGCCCTACATCAGCTAAATTACATAGTGGTGTGCCACAGGGTTCTTTACTTGGGCCTATTTTATTTTCATTGTATATGTGCCCATAAGGCTCAGTTTTTCGTAAAAATAAAATAGTCTGTATCATCTATATACAGATGATACTCAGTTATATATTCCAATTGATCCAAAAGGCTCCCAATCCTTTGATGAACTTGTACAGTGATGCTGTTATAGATATGTTCCAGTCGGGTTTTAGGTCCCTTCGTGGTACAGAATCTGCCCTTCTTAAGGTTTTTAACAATATTTTATTGGCAGGTAGTATTCTAGGAAGGTAGTAATACTTATTCTACTTGATTTTACAGCCACTGTTGATACCACTGATCATGGGATTTTATTGCAGTGATTGGAAGATGTTGTTGGTATTAAGGGTACTACCTTAGATTGGTTAAAGTTATATTTAAAGGTTAGGTCTTGGTTTGAATTGGGAATTTGTGCCCTACATCAGCTAAATTACATAGTGGTGTGCCACAGGGTTCTTTACTTGGGCCTATTTTATTTTCATTGTATATGTGCCCATAAGGCTCAGTTTTTCGTAAAAATAAAATAGTCTGTATCATCTATATACAGATGATACTCAGTTATATATTCCAATTGATCCAAAAGGCTCCCAATCCTTTGATGAACTTGTACAGTGCTGGGTTTTTACCAATTCAGACTTATTTCTAAATTGAAACCTATTCTCTCCTTTAAAGACCTGGAAATGTGTTATCACACTATGCGTTATTAACTACTGTAATTCCTTATATATAGGTATTTCTCAGGGTCAATTATCTGCAAAATGCAGCGGCCAGACTTTTGACTCGTACAAAGAAGAGAGAGAGGGTCTCCTTACGCTGGTTGCCAGTACATTTCAGAATCACGTTTAAGGTTCTATTGATGGTTTTAAAGTGTTGCATGGTATTGCACCAAAATAAATGGCTATGCTAACCTTTTGATACCAAAATACAAGGCATATGAGATGACTCTTGATGTTCCCAAAACTAGATTAAAATCAAAGGGTGATAGGGCCTTTTCAGTGTTTGCTCCTCTTTTGTAAAAAATTTAATTGTTTAATAAAATAAGATTTAAAAATTAAATAAATTATTAAATAATAATTTTTACATTTTTTAAAATTAGTTTTGAGGTGCCGAGCAAATTCATTAGGGCTTATGATAGTGCAGGCTTGATTCTCCATTTCAAACGCTTCACAAAGGGAGTGAAAGACAAACTTTTAAAATCCAAAGTTGACAAAAGCGTTCTTTTTTGAGAATCGTCTGACGTAAAAAGGACTAAGCTAATTGTCGCCTTCAGTATTCACTGTATGTCACTGTATTCAGGAAGGCGGAGAACAAACTCAAATAACACGCCTTGTTTGTGCATATAGCGGTTGAGCAATTACTGATTTACCTCATGGTTCTCATGTCCCAGGAGCTCCGTCAGGACTTTCAGGACATGCTTGGCCTCCTCTGCGCATTTCTTCTTTCCTGAAATGTAAGACATACTACAATAAACACTGTGCTGCTTATAGTACATTTCTCTGTTTACTTTAGAAAATCAAATAAAAAAAGTGAAAAAGTAAACAGAGGATTCTGAGCAACAATTTAATTGTTTATACATATCTTTATTTCTTTGATAAGCATTGATTACACGAGCATTGTGGCTGTGTATCTGTTACCTTGAGTGCGCAGGCAGAGGTTCATGAGGAGGGAGATGGCATATTCAAGCGTGTAGTCAGACAGATAGTCGGAGTCGTGGAGCTCTTTGACCAACCAGCCAATCAGACCGTCTCTGATCATAGCAGACTGCTGTGCTCGCCTGCACACAGCAGAATATTTAGAAACACTAGGCATTTTTGAGGCGTTTAAAAAATGCTGTGTTGGAAATCCTTTACCTAATTTGGTGTATTTTTTTCCACTAATTTGTAAAATTATCTTATAAATTAGCTAATTTGCTTATAAATTTCTCATTGTGCTATATTATCACCAAATCTTGGATTCAAACTTCTTGTCAAGTTGTTAAATTCTTTCAATTAGCACAGATCCTATTGATCCTATTGTGCTTATGCAAAGTATAAGTATAGTTTGAGCTTATGCGCTTATAGTTTTTGAGTGAAAAATGCATTATTTGGATAATTTTGGCAATATTCACTCAAAAACTGAGGTACATAAGCTCAGATCAATGAGGCCTAGGATCAATCAGTTCCAAAAAGAAATACTTGAAAGAAAATATGTTGATAAAAAAAAAAGAATCTAATATCTGGTAATAACATAGCATAACAAGATATTTATAAGCAAAAATTATGTATGCTGGTCATTTTTGAAGAGTAAAAAGTGTACAATGGCAGTAAGTTGTAGTACAATGCAATAAAATTATAATTTCCAGAAAAAAAAAAATCTTCTTTGGGTCAAAATGATTGGAACACAACATGAGGGTTAAATATATATATATACAGTATATACATATACATATATATATATATATATTTTTTTTTATAACAATAGCCATTATGTGTTTAGTTGCACCTCAGCCATAAACCTACTTGGTAGCTGTACTGTTCTAAAAATATATGATTAAACACAAATTTGAGTCATTATTATTATTATTATTGTTTTTATTTATTGGTATATATTATTATTAATATAATCAAAAAGTAATATTATTATTATTACTATTATTTATTTATTTTTGCACTATATTATTTTTAATATTTTTATTACTATTTTATTTTTGCATTATATCTAAAAAACTCTGTTGGTGCAGCTGAGTTTTACACACTTTTCTAAAGAGAGGAACAACTGAAAACACATTATTACAGTCTGTATGTTTATTAACATTTATTATCAAATGGCGTACCTGAGGCTGAGTTTCTGCAGTGCTGCAAGCACATTTTCTCGAGTTACAGACTCTTTCTCTTCAGTCTTCAGACAGTCGAGCAGAAACCTCAGTAAAGAGGGTATCTGAGACAGGTACATGCGTCCTGGGTGTGCAATAGTGCATGAGACCACGATAAACACATTTCAGAACTAAAGACAGAGATTTATACACAATTTATACAACAAAAGTTTTGTGAAAATTCTGCTCCAAGAATTTTGAGAATTGAGAAACAGAAGTGAAATAAAATTTTACTCAAAACAATATCAATTGATCAGTTTGTGCCATGAACAAAAAAAAGGTATGCTGTCAACTGTGACATCAACATGACGAATGTAGTGTAGCGACAAATCCATGTGACCAATATGCACAGGTGGGGAATTCTTTCGCCCTTAGGCATGCAATTTACATGATTTGGCCAAACAACAATAAAACAGAGTTTGATTTAGAGTGAGAAGTTTGATTCTATCCCGTACAGTTCAGAAGTTATGCAAAAAACTGTGCATATTATAGCGCCACCTAGAGTATTGGAGGTTGGTGTGTGTTTATGATTAGCGAGTGGAATCTTATAGCATCCTGCCACGTTTGTTTATTCTCTGATACACATAAAGGTCACAATAGCAAGGTTATTTTTTTTTTATTTTACAAGCAAAAAATGTCTATTGACTCCTCTCAATTGTTTATTGAACACAGCAATCAATCCGTTGAATGTAGTGTAACGTTCAATGCGGAAAATCCGTGTGACCAACTTGACATTGTGTGGAATTATTTTGCCCTTCTGTGAATTCCTACTGAAATAACCTGATTTAGCCTGCAGAAATTCACTGAACAACAGTAAACGTGACCTCAACTTATGTTAAAAAAAAGTAGGTTTTTCATAAAATGCAAAATGAGAGGGAGAAAAAAAAAGTATTTTGATTCTGTGTGTTTAGAATTAGCGGGTGGAATCTGGAATCATCCTATAAGTCCGTTTACAGTCCCTGACACACAAATAGATCACATTTGTGAAATTTTCTGCAAAATTTTACACACAAAAAAAGGTCCACTGTTTACAGTGAATAGTGTAGCAAATATAGCGATCGATGCATTGAATGTAGTGTAGCGATCCATGTGACCAATCCACCTGACCAACTTGAATTTGTGTGGAATCGCGTGAATTCCTATTGGAATAAATATAATTAACCTGTGAGAATTCACCGAATAATCGCACCTCAAGTTCGAAAAAGTAGGTTTTTCATAAAATGTTAAATGCCCCAAAAAGTTTGAAGTGGAAATAAAAATCCACTTGCACAATTGATTCAGCGTCAGAATTTGTATTCTAGCCTGTTACACAAAGTTTTTGCACATTATAGCGCCACCTAGAGCATCGGAGGGATGTGTATTTATGATTAATGGGTGGGATTTGGGACCATCCTGCCAAGTCTGTTTACAGTCTCTGACACACAAACTGGTTTAAGGAAGAAAAAGAAGAAGACTGGAACAAACAAAACCAGACTTCTCTGCTTGAAGCGAAGACATTTTTGTAAGGAATCATTTTCACTTACCGTCACACAAAGAGGCAAAGGCATTGATGAGCCGTGCCATATACTGTCTGACAATCTCATTTTTGGATTTCATCAGATGAAGAACAGATTTCTGTGAAGTAAACAAAACCAGTTACTCAGCTATTTATTTTTCTTTCCTTGCTATTTCATATGGCTTTTGGTTCAGTTAGTTGTTCTTTAATGTGAAAAGGACTATTTTGTCTGCCTTCTAAGTTCATTCTGGATTTTAGTAACATGATATATTGTCTTTCAGCCTGCACAAAAACTGAAAGGTGAGCTAAAAGCATGTGCGAATCGACTGCCCTAAGGAACTTGCTGACAATTATTGGAAATTATGAGTCAAGAAGTCATGTTATCTGCTGAAACCTGATTCAGGTTCATTCTAATTACCTGAAAAAGACTGACGGTAAACATATTTTAGAAAAGAAATAGGTCACAGACAGCTCAAATTGTTTTAAATGTTGTAATTGTTGTGTTAAGTGTACTCATTGTGAACCGCAAAACAAAAATGTATCAAAATCTGGATAGAAATGCAATTTAAATATATTGGAATTACATAAAAGGGTCTATTTTCAAAACATTTTAGCCATGAATTTGAATACTATACTAAAATATTCGAATTTTACTGTGCATTCTAACACACACACACACACACACACACACACACACACACACACACACACTCAGTTTTAAATTTTGTAATTGTTGTGTTAAGTGTACTCATTGTGAACCGCAAAACAAAAATTTATCAAAATATGGATAGAAATGCAATTTAAATATATTGGAATTGCATAAAAGGGTCTATTTTCAAAACATTTTAGCCATGAATTTGAATACTATACTAAAATATTGTAATTTTAAATAGTATTTTCAAACTGTAAAATTATTCTGAGTGCAGTTTTCATATATATATATATATATATACAGTATATAAAACTCCCCGACAAGGGTTTTGTAATGTACCTGTTTGGAACTGTAGCGCTCCAGAAGATCATTGCTGATGAAGGCTTGCAAAACCGTGTCCCTTTGCTCACCATGTAGAGATCTGGTTAACCTCTGGAAAATAACAACAAAATTGGCATGCAATGTGAAACCCAATTTATGTGTCTCAATGTGTGTTCTAAAGGACAGAAAATAACTCAATTCACTAAAACAACAAAAAATCTCCTACAAATTCTTCAGTTTAAAGGATTCACAACTGAATTTTGATCATGTACATGCTGCAGTAGTTTGTAGCGTGTTTGACCAATATTAACAATATCAACAGACTGTAGTAATTATGGTATTGTGTCAGAAACGATGGGATACATCAGTGATGTGCTTAGCTTATTTACAGTAATTCTGAGTTACCCAGCGCAAAGCTTGAAGCAGCAAAGCCTTCAGTCGATCTGATCCATTCACTAGGTCTTTCTTCAGCTTCTCGTAGTCAAGGGAAGGCAACAGCGGCACGTCTTTGGGCCTCCTGACAGCAGGAAATAAAAGGATGATGAATCTTGCTCATCAGGTTACTGATGGGAATCTTTCCATCTCTGGGATCATCATGTTTCCATAGTCTGGTTTGTTTGCATTTATAAAATTACTTTTGAATGATCTGACAAGTACAAGATGCTAAAGGTAACAAGCTATGCGAGATATTAATCAATTATGTCTAAAAATGTACAGAGAATGTACAAAATTTGATAATTACACTTTTACCCTGGTTTCTAAACACTGTCTAAAATGCAATTATTTAATTATATTCACAGCAATAGATTTTACATAAATAAATAAATCTGGATATTGGATTATTGTGAATAAAATAAAATAAAATAAATAATTAACAATATGTACTTACTAAAGGGTTTCGGATTGGTTTACGCAAACTATGCAACTGACTTTACTGTGATTACTAGTTTTTACTACAGTAAGTACATGTAAAGTGATACAAGGACACTTTTTTGTACAGGTTTCTTCAGATATTTTTCAGATTTAAATATATTCTAAAAATAGTAATAGGTATAAAAACAAGACACTGTAAACTTATCATAATTATTGTAATTAACAGACAAAATCCAGAGAATATTATTTTTTATAATATAATATAATATAATATTTAATAGTTATATAATATCATTTATATAATAGTTTTTTTTAGGATACTGACAATTGTTTAATTCAGTAAATCTTAAATCTGCCATTAGAACATATTTAGGGGTCCTTGCTATATAAAAATAAATAAATAGAAATACAAAAAAAATACAAATGAAATGTGTAAATAAATCAAATGTGAAAATCTGCGATCTATATCAAGTTACCAAATGTTTAGCAGACATACCTGCTAGGCAAGATGAGATTTTCTACTAATCTTTTATCAATCTAAACAAAATAATAAATACAACTTACTGAGGTGCGACTGATGCCCGCAGCATTGAGGAAGCCTAAACGAAAAAAAAAAAATAGAAATGTCATTTGAATCTGTTGAAACATTGGCTTGCAGATGAAAATACAATGCATGTGTGTTAGTGAACTTTTAGTTGGCGAGTATTCATGTTGTTGTAGTCATTAACTAGCATGCGTTCTACAACAGTTGCAAGCGCATATGCAGTGCGGTGGGGTTATGTGTGTACATATACATGCGATGAATGACCTCAAACAAATGAATACCCTGTTTGCAAAGCAGGGAGGTTGGGGGAGGGGGTTAGTGAGAGGAATTCCCCACGCTCATTTACTGCGCTGCACCTGCAGGATCTAATTTCTAACTGAGCCTAAGAGCACGGCAAATTCTGGCATCTCAAAGATGCAATTAGAAGCCATTCCTTGGGGGAAGGTTACATCGAAACCCGCAAGAAGGCGGATCATGTGAGCACAAACTCAGGCGAGTGCTTCCCCATTACTTGGAGTGTGAGAAATAGTGATATCAGTCTGATTTGACGTATGCGGGTAAGTTACGTGAGGCCAAATTTCCTGTCAAATATAAACATCCTTCTGTGAAGGGCTGTGTGAGTCATGCTCGTTTAACTTCAAACTGGTTTGAGGAAATGTTTCGGAGTTATGTATACGAACATTCTCAAGTTTGGCAAATCTTAGTGTTTGCTCTAAATATTTGCAGTTCGTCTGCATATGTGGATTTCACAATGACAAGGGTTTGAACATTATGAGTGTATCCTGGTCCAGAGAAGGATTACATGGTTTACATGTATGTCAAAACTATAAGGGCTGATTCAATGTTTTTTTTATATAAATAAAAAAATAAAAAAATAAATAAAGCAATTGTACACTACCAATCAAAAGTTTGGAATCATAACTATTTTTAAATGTTTCTGAAACCTTGGGGGAAGGTTACATCGAAACCCGCAAGAAGGCGGATCATGTGAGCACAAACTCAGGCGAGTGCTTCCCCATTACTTGGAGTGTGAGAAATAGTGATATCAGTCTGATTTGACGTATGCGGGTAAGTTACGTGAGGCCAAATTTCCTGTCAAATATAAACATCCTTCTGTGAAGGGCTGTGTGAGTCATGCTCGTTTAACTTCAAACTGGTTTGAGGAAATGTTTCGGAGTTATGTATACGAACATTCTCAAGTTTGGCAAATCTTAGTGTTTGCTCTAAATATTTGCAGTTCGTCTGCATATGTGGATTTCACAATGACAAGGGTTTGAACATTATGAGTGTATCCTGGTCCAGAGAAGGATTACATGGTTTACATGTATGTCAAAACTATAAGGGCTGATTCAATGTTTTTTTTATATAAAAAAAAAAAAAAATAAATAAATAAAGCAATTGTACACTACCAATCAAAAGTTTGGAATCATAACTATTTTTAAATGTTTCTGAAAGAAGTCTCTTCTGCTTACCAAGGCTGCATTTAATTGATCAAAAATACAGAAAAACAGTAATATTGTAAACTATTACTTAAAATAGATACTTTCTATTTAAGTATGTGTTAAAATATAATTGATTCCTGTGAATTTTCAGCATCATTACTCCAGTCTTATGTGTCACTTGATCATTCAGAAATCATAATAATATGCTGATGTGCTGATTTGCTGCTCAAGAAACATTTATGATTATTATCAATGTTGAAAACAATTTTTGTTGCTTATTTTTTTGGAAACCATGACACATTGCCATTTAATTAAAATTATTATTTTTTTTTAATAATAAATAAATTATTTTATTCAGCAAGGATGCAATAAATGTACTATATTATATCATATTGTTTTTGATTGTTTGCGACTTCCTGGCGTCAGATATAAACACACACACACACACACACGTCTGGTCAGCTATCCTTGTGGGGACTCTCCACTGGCGTAATGGTTTTTATACTGCACAGACCGTATTTTCTATTGCCCTACACCAACCCTAACCCTAAACCTACCCCTCACAGGAAACTTTGTGCATTTTTAGATTTTCAAAAAACTTCATTCTGTGTGATTTATTAGCTTGTTTACCCGTGAGGACCTCAATTTAGGTCCCCACCGTGACACAAGTCCCCATGAGTCTGTGTGTATTCAGGTTTAAGTCCCCACCAGAATAGAAAAACAGGTACACACACACACAGGTTTGTTTTTGTGAAAAGTGGGGACATCCCATAGGCGTAATGGTTTTTATACTGTACAGACCGTATATTCTATTGCCCTTTACCAACCCTACCCCTAAACTTACCCCTCACAGGAAACTTTGTGCTATTTCAGATTTTCAATACACTCCATTCTGTGTGATTTATAAGCGTTTTGAAAAGTGGGGACATGGGGTAATGTCCTGAAAAGTCACCTTCTCCTTGTAATACCTATGTCATTATACAAATGTATGTCCCCATTTGTCACAAAAACGCGCGCGCACACACACTCACACACACACACACACACACTCACTCACTCACTCACTCACACACACTCTCTCACACTCTCACTCACTCACACACTCACTCACACACACTCACACACACACTCACTCACTCACACACACACACACACACACACACACACACACACACACACTCACTCACTCACTCACTCACTCACTCACTCACTCACTCACAGACACACAGACACACAGACACGCAGACACGCACACACGCACACACGCACTCACTCACTCACTCACTCACTCACTGCAAAGGGCAAAGTTTTTCCTTTTTCCTTCTCCACTGCCCGGTGGCTCTAGTTTCTGAACAAAAATTTGGCATGTTGATATGTAAATGTAGGCGGTCCTGTTTTTTTTTGTTTTTTTTACCTGACGCCAGGAAGTCGCAGATTATTTCAAAAGGAAAAAAAAATAAAAATCATGATATGACCCATTCAATCCTATGGCCCATACTGAATGTATGCCCTTGCTGTGACAGTTTTGTATGTATACTGCTCACTCTGGGGAACTGAAGACAAGTGAAACACGGTCTTCAAAGCAATCAGTGTTATGTGCTTCCTTCGGGATTCAGCTACAATGTACATGATTGTCGGACAAAGCACAGCATTCTTAAGACTGAACAAGGACGTTCGTCCCGTGACACTAGGGCGATCTAATGGGAACTAGATGAAGTAGAGGGCTTTGGGACGAAATACAAAGGAGAAAGAGGACAGGCAGGGCTCAACGGTCATACAGGAAAGACCAGGGAGGCAGGGAGAAATATGATGAAACATTCAGCAACTTACATATCCATCATCATAAGGACTCATAGAGTAATATCCCTTCATGAACAGATGATCAGACACACAAACACACAGGAAAATATGATTAAGGATACACTAGCTGCAAAAGCATGTAAATATCAAAACATTTTAGGCAATGTCAGATTATCCCACCGCTATGTGACTCTTTTTAGGGTCCCGATGTGAAAAAAGTGGGTTTTGTAGGGAAAATGTTACAAACCAAAATATTTTGGGTTGCTTTAAGTTACTAAACCATGATAGAAACTGAAAACAAAACATAAAATACATATCATAAAAGCAATAGATTAAAAAAAATTAAAATTCCAGCTGCAAAAATTCAGTAAATAATGGTAAATGTGAAAGCAATTCAAATGTTTTTATGTTTACAAAAATGTGAGACACACACACACACACACACACACACACACAAAACACGCAATGTCAATAAAAATAAGATAAATCATATTGTACTTAAAATAAAGCTTATTTTAGATTTGTGTCATCGTGACATTGTTTATAACATTTAAGCACATTTCCCTGCAAATTGTCATTACCATAATCTATAAAAATCTCATTGTTACAAAAACGCATTGTTTCGATATATAAAAATTGTCATTACCATAATCTGTCATTTTCAATGATTTTAATTACATTATGGTAGTGTTTGTCACTTTAAAAGTTGCTGATTTTAACACACACACACACACACACACAATCTTTTTAATATTGTTACAGTAATGAATCACCATTGAGAATGACAATGGATTTTTTTTATGCAAAAACACGTGGAACAGTGGTCAAACGTGTTCTTCTAACATGTTTACAAAAAAAACCAAAAATTCATTGGAATGCAAAAACTTGTTCAGTGTGAACATCCTTAAAGGAACACTCCACTATTTTTGAAAATAGGCTTATTTTCCAACTCCCCTAGAGTTAAACAGTTGATTTTTACAGTTTTCGAATCCATTCAGCCGATCTCCGGGTCTGGCGGTAGCACTTTTAGCTGTAGCTTAGCATAGATAATTGAATCTGATTAGACCGTTAGCATCTCGCTCAAAAATGACCAAAGAGTTTCTATATTTTTCCTATTTAAAACGTGACTCTTCTGTAGTTACATCGTGTACTAAGACAGACGGAAAATGAAAAGTTGTGATTTTTCAAGGCCGATATGGCTAGGAACATTGCGCCTGCTGCACCCATGGTACGGCAGCAAAGCTCCTTGATTATTACGCCGGAATGAGAGTACAGTTCCTAGCCATATCGGCCTAGAAAATCACAACTTTTCATTTTCCGTCTGTCTTAGTACACGATGTAACTACAGAAGAGTCACGTTTTAAATAGGAAAAATATAGAAACTCTTTGGTCATTTTTGAGCGAGATGCTAACGGTCTAATCAGATTCAATGATCTATGCTAAGCTACAGCTAAAAGTGCTACCGCCAGACCCGGAGATCGGCTGAATGGATTCGAAAACGGTAAAACTCAACTGTTTAACTCTAGGGGAGATGGAAAAAAAAAATTGGAGTGTTCCTTTAAGGCTTTGTTCAGACAGGAAGGAAAATGTATTTATTTTTATTTTTTATTTTCTGGCATAATACAAAACAATGACAAAGCGGAAAACCATGTGAAGCCAATTCACACTTGCATGTGCTTTGAAAATGAATTCAAATCTGATTAGAAATGGCTTCCAGTGTGAACAGTGTGTCAAATCAGGTTTTAGAGTGTTGCATGTATGCAAATCCATATGCAATGCGCAAGCAATGACTGAGTGAAAATTTGTGAATTTAAACCGAGTTAAAGAAGATTTATCATGACGACCATGAGCAGATTCAGAAGTTTCTGTGCTCTCAAAAATGACAGCTACTTTCGAGTTAAACTTTGACAGCATGTTCTACAGAAAAACAATGTCCACCACGGAATAAAAAAATAAAAAAGGTCATTGTGAGGTCATTTCCCAATCCTGACTTTTTTTTTTTTTAGTAATTCTAAGAAAAAAAAGAAAAAAGACTTCTGAGAAGAAAAGTCTGAATTGTGATATATAAACTCACAGTGAGAAGAAACAAATCTGAAATGTGAGATATAAAGTTGGAGTTACCTTTTCATTTGTATTCTATATTTGCAAAATAATAAAGAAATGGTGGAGTGTGGATGCTTTAAAAAGCCAAATGCATATAAACATATTGTCTGCAATCAGTGAAGGCAGTGACTCACAGTGCCAGGTCTGGTGAAGTCCACGCTCTGAGCTGCACTCTGTCTCATGTGACCGCTGAAGAGCCGCATGCACACACCCTGCAGGTACTCTGGGGAGATCTGCAAAACATCAGCCATATCCCCTGAGCATTTTAGGAGAACTTTGGTCATGTGTAATTATCTGCATTGCTGGAGTTGTGCACATAATGTGTGAGCTGATGTTTGCTTGCCATCTTTCCGCGGACTGTGGCCTCCAGTGAATCCACCAGCTCGGCTGTGACGCCGATGAGGCTGTGATGGTCGGCCTGCAGCTTAGCGAATCTCCTCATGTGGATGGCCGACTTCCTTTCCGCCTCGGTCAGATGGAGCTGCATTTGCTGAATCGCTTCTGGGAGACAACACACACAAACAGTCAAATAAGGGGCTGGTGAACACGCACGATGCAAAAGAGCCACATTAACAACTTCTGAGAGTGACGGTGTATTTGAGCTACGATCAGGGTTCAAAAGGAACACAAAAATCTGATTTTCCTCAGGTTATGTTACAAACACGACAATATTTAGAACAAAAAAAGTATATTTTTCGTTTGATGGCAGTTTGCAAGGTTAACAGCTAATTAATCCCAGCTAATTAGGGACAAAATTATACATACTTTGTATAAATATACAACAATGCTATCTGTTATTATATTAAGATAAAACAAATGTAATTATTACCCACAGTAACATGTAATCATGATTTACAATGTGACTGGAGATTCAGGATTAAAGGTACTTCCCATATTTTGCGAACAATGATATTTTTATGACTTTTATTTTATGTTACAAAAATACATTATATAAGTTATATCACATAACAAAATCACAACATTTGTGTAACAGGGCATTTTCACAGAGACATAATATGATACTAAAACAGCTAAATTATATAAAATACTACATATGATCAATATTTTAATTATTTATTTCAATTATTATATTATATTAAATTATATATTATGATGAAACAAGTTTAATTATTACACATTTTCTGATTTTTAAAAATCATTATTTAATTTATATCATGTTAAAATTATTTAGAACAAAATCACAACATTTGTGTAACAGGGCATTTTCACAGAGATGTTAATAAAACAGCTAAATAATACAAAATACTATATATATATATGATACAATTATAAATATTTAAATTATTATATTATGATGAAACAAGTTTAATTATTACCCATTTTATGATTTTTAAATTCATTATTTTTTTAAATCATGATTTAATTTATATTATGTTAAAACATATTTAGAACAAAACAAAATGTTTTTTGTGATAAAGACAGTTTTTGTGTTTGACAGACACATAATACCCAAGGAAAATTACTAAATAATGCCAATATTAGAGACAAAATCATACATATTTATTTTTATTACATATTTATTGCACATCTAAAATGTGCATACATTATTCTATGAAGATAAAAAAGTAATTGTTACCCATGTAATGTGTAATTGTGATTTACAATGCGACTGGGTATTAGGGATTAAACCATCGATCCCATGTGACCAATACATTTTTATGACTTATTATGCCACCAATATATACTGTATATTTAAATAATGAATTCAATTATTGTATTTGAAAATAAAACAAATGTAATTATTCCTCAAAGCAAAGTGTAATCATGATTTACAATGTGACTGGAGGTTCAGGATTAAAGCTACTTCCTCTAAATGCCACACCCTGTGACTTTTTATGACTTTTCCAGTTATTTTTAATTAATGATAAATATATTTTTTATCAATCTTTATGATTATTTTCAAAAATCATTATATATCAAGTATTTAGAGCAAAACTGTAATGTTTCTGTGACTCGTGCTGTTTCATATGCAATAAAAACAGCTAAATAATACAATTATTAGGGACAAAATTATACATGTTTAATTAAATATTCAGTAAATTATTATATTATATTATAATTTAGTACATTTTGTATCATGCCTACAACGCTACGGTAACAATGTAGGAACTGCATCAGAATAGTTCACCTTTGTTGCCCTTTCCACCTTCGTTCTGGTTTCGTGGTGTTTAGGAGTCATGCCAAAAAGTAATTGTTCATTTTAATGGTTTAATGTCATGAGTGTCCCTGCCCTCAAACTACATCCCAGTTTGCTCATCAAAAACAACATTCACAGGACTCGTGTTCACACTCCACAGCCCATGGTTCTGACATAACACTAACACATGTGCATTTTATGACAATGCACAATGAATTTGGGCCCTTGCGATATTTAATTATTACCCACAGAAATGTGTAATCAAGATTTACAGTGTGACTGGAGATTCAGGATTAAAGCCACTTCCTCTATAGCAGTGTTTCCCAACCTTTTTTTTGGCCACGGCACAGTTTTGATCAGTAAAACATGCCACGGCACACCTCTAAGCACTGAAATATCGCAAAATTGCACAGACATGCATTGCTTCAAGTGGCATATTAAAACTGGATATTATATTAAAAGCCACAGTACCAACTCTGACGATGCAGTGTTGAATTATTTAAAAAAAATGTTTTTCACACATGCTTCAATCACACACGCTCACACACACACTCACTCTCACACACACAGGTTTGTTTTTGTGAAAAGTGGGGACATCCCATAGGCGTAATGTTTTATACTGTACAGACCGTATATTCTATTGCCCTACACCAACCCTACCCCTAAACCTACCCCTTACAGGAGACTTTGTGCTATTTCAGATTTTCAATACACTCCATTCTGTCTGATTTATAATTGTTTTGAAAAGTGGGGACATGGGGTAATGTCCTGAAAAGTCACCTTCTCCTTGTAATACCTATGTCATACCTTTGTCATTATACAAATGTATGTCCTCATTTGTCACAAAAACGCGCGCACACACACACACACACTCTCTCTCTCTCACACACACACACACTCACTCACTCACTCAATCACTCACACTCACACAAAAAAAAAACATTAGGCTTTATAGACATAGTGTTTCTTGAGCAAAAAGAATACGCTGTACTTATTCAAACATCAGTTCTTTATTTAGCCTCGCATTGTGATCGAGCAGAGATCTGTCTCCAGACTTCTGAATGAAGACAGCTGGAGTTATGAGGTTTGCTGACAGTTTGAGGATCCAATGGTGTTACGAGGCTTAGTCACAAGCTCTTTTGAATGCTTTTTTTGGTTAAATATTTGTAAAACTCACAAACAGATGTAAAGATGACCAATAGCATGGATTTAAAATAATAATAATAACGAAATTAAATTTTGATAATTTTCCGGCACACCTGACATGGCACAGTGGTTGGGAAACACTGCGCTCTCTCTCTCTCTCTCTCTCTCTCCCTCCCACCCTCTCTCCCCTAAGTGTTTTACAGGCCTGTAAATCATAATTTTAAAATGATAAAAAAATGCCTCACAATATACACAAAAGGATACATATAAGGTCAGAAGCCTCGGCGTGTTTGAAGCTTTCAGAGTCACTGAGAGAAACTTGTCTAGGCTTTCTCTCAACTCTGGCATCCAGGAATCCTATGATCCGGTAAAAACAATGACAAGCACATTAAAACCTCTTCTGCATCAAGCAAGTGCTCAGTGTACATGAGGTTCATCATACAGAATAATATGATTTTTCAGTATGCAGCAATATGACGTACCTATAAGAACAGGGGTGCCCACACTCGGTCCTGGAGGGCCGGTGTCCTGCAGAGTTTAGCTCCAACCCTAATCAAACACACCTGAAGCAGCTAATCAAGCTCTTACTAGGCATACTAGAAACTTCCAAGCAGGTGTGTTGAGGCAAGCTGGAGCTAAACTCTGCAGGACACCGGCCCTCCAGGACCGAGTTTGGGCACCCCTGTATAAGAAAGTGTACCCCAGTATCTAAGAACTAACCTCAGTTTTCAGAGATTTTCTGCAATGACTGTTAATCAGCTGGTGTGTTGGTGGTTGGTAGTGGATGTGTGTTGTACCTGGAAAAGCTCCTGGAAGGACGGGTGTACTGTGGGATTGGGCACAAACGGCAGAGCGTAGAACGGCAGGAACTCGGTGGTCTGGCTCAGTGCCGCCCCTCTGGTCTCCAGATAGTGCTTGAAATGTGTGATCCTGCTGTCAAACTCTCCTTTATCCTGTATTACACAAACATATTTTTACATCAAAAAAGAGAGAGTTTGCATCTTGACTGAAAGCTAATACTATGCCATTCAAATACTGATTCAAGTCATGTATTCGACTGAACGAGAGGTTGGCCTGAATGTTTTAGTTTATGAGGACATCTGTTGGTCAAACAGAATACATGCATTTGTCTATTCAGTTCATTAAACAAAAAGATAATTGTATTACTATTCCCAACAGTAAAGCGCACTTACGTGACTTCCTACAGCTGATTTCAGTGGGTATATTGTAAAATGAATTTGTAAGTGGAATTCCAGTTTCTGAGCTACTGGATCAAAGTCCCGAATCTCCAGAGGAATGGTTTTAGCCCACAGCTCCGAGAATACCTTATAGTCGCCATCATTAAAAGAGCTGAGAAAATCCTCCTATAGGAAGAAACAAGATATCAAGAGGTCAATTCACTTTTCAGTTGCTTTTCATTTTTAAGTCTAAATAAATACATAAATAAAGGTTTTCTCTGATCTACATGTAAACATTTTTAAAAGGTATATATATATATGTAAATCATATAAACATCAACTAATTTCAGTAGTTTTTTTTCACGTTTCAGTCTTTTTTAATTAAATTAAAATTCACAAATACTGAGCAGTTTGGTAATGACAGAGATTTTCTTTAAAATATTTTGTTAAATATAGATTTATTAAATAGAGATTTTATTAAAATAGCTATATATTATAAATTATATATAAAATCTAAATACATTATATGTGTTGAACTATTTCTGACATTTAAACTACTACTTGTACATTGCAAATTGTACATGATTAAAACTATGATTTCTTATGAAAAAGTGCAAACGTTTTGGAATTCCAGCTAAAAGCAAAAATATAATAATAATAATAATAATAATAATAATAATAATAATAATAATAATAATAATAATAATAATAATAATAATAATAATAATAATAATAATAATAATAATAATAATAATAATAATAATAATAATAATAATAATAATAATAATAATAATAATAATAATAATAATAATAATAATAATAATAATAATAGATACAATTTTAAAGCCAAATAAACTTTTGTTGATATGTTTATAACAAGATTATAATAAAGCAAGCTGATCGGTTATAAAAAAACTATAACACACTGATTCTGCGATGAAAAAATTGTACATATAAATATAAAATTTATTAAAACTTAGTGGAAAAATAAAAAATAGTGGAGTGTTCCTTTAAGGATGTTCACACTGAACAAGTTTTTGCATTCCAATGAATTTTTTTTGTTTTTTTTTGGTAAACATGTTAGAAGAACACGTTTGACCACTGTTCCACGTGTTTTTGCATAAAAAAAATCCATTGTCATTCTCAATGGTGATTCATTACTGTAACAATATTAAAAAGATTGTGTGTGTGTGAGAGAGAGTGTGTGTGTGTGTGTGTGTGTGTGTGTGAGTGTGAGAGAGA